CGGGTTCGGGACCACGATCAGAAATTCATACGGTCGCGCCCATATAAAAGAAAAGAAAAAGTCTGATTCTTATCGATTTTTTGTGATTAAAATCAATTAAATCTCTAAATAATCGATTTTCGCCATGTTGGCCGTAAAATGCATTTTTTTCCAGTTTTAAGTTGAAAACTGAGCTTTTCGATCGCTTTTTCGGACTACTCTCCTCGACAAACAGTAACAATGATGCCAGATCAATCTCTGACATATATATTAAGCTTCGAAATTTTATATAATGTGACATTTATTTCTTGATCGAAGAAAAAACGATGAATTAGATCAAAATCGATTTTAAAAATTTCAATCGATTTTAATGGATTAAAAATCAAACAATTTGATTAATAATCAGATAAAAATTGTTATTTGAAAATTTAATTGATTGTAATCAAATTTTTTTCCGATTTTGTTTGCATGGGTGGTCAGCTCTATCAGAAACATGCTGGATTCACTTTGACTACAGTCCAGACTGCGCAAAAAGGAAGCTGGCGAGACTCGACGGAATCCAAACCAAAGAGTCTTAGTCTCGCACATATCTATAGTTAACTAAAGAAATGAAAAAAACGAGAATTGAAGAAGTTTTACATGTGGAACCAATAAATTCTGAAATAGTTTTATGTAAACCGAGACAGACAACAAATAAACTAAAATCACTGGAACCAGAAAAATTTGGTCCCACATATCTCTAGTGTGGAGTGATGGTATTAAGATGGGTCTTTTCAGCACTTACACCCACATCCTATATATAACCTCAATTTTTATCGTATTTACCAACTCCGCGAACACTATTATTAAGCTTCAGTATTAAAAGGTACTGGCTGGTGTTGATGTGCTGAGATTCTAAACCTGCAGTTTTCCTCTCGCAAGTTGTTTATACAAATAACTTCAGATGCTTTTGTAGGGCGTGAATGCGGGTCTCTATTTTATCTTTGCCCAAACCCACATTCGCACACCCACACTCACAAGCACACCCCACTCATACACCCCCACACCCACGCTCTTCTGCGTGAACTATTTCAACATGAGTTCCCTTATAAATACCATATATGGTTTTATACGTTAGCATCGGTTTATAATTTTTTTTTTGCGTCACATAGTGAAAAATAATAACCAGTATTCTGTATGAGAAACAATGTGAAACGTCATGATATAAATTGAATTGAATTCTTCTGAATACTTATTCGAGAGGCTAGGAAAAATTTTATTATTTATAGCTTGCGTGATACTACTTTATCTTGAAATTTAGTATCCAAAGATTTAAGATATTTACTTGCTTGTACATAAAACTGTTTTTTTTTTAATCTTCCGATGTCAAAATAAAAGTCTTTACTGTACTTATTATACAATTAAATAAATAATAATGGATATTCTTCTGTTTTATTTGAGGTCTATTTAAACAAATGTTCACATTTTTTCTATTGATAGCGAGAGTTAGAAATTATTTTTAAAAAAGTTGCGCTGTATCACGTCTAATTAGAACAAATTCTGTCTAAGGTTAGTTTTACCTAAAGTTTAATTTTGGTCTTGGTATATATTTAGTCAAAGAAGAAATACAGCTAAATGTCAAAAATACGCACGAAATACAAAGATATGAAGATCTTTTTTTATTTTATGAATACTTGTCTAATGATGTCAATTACCATTTACTAGCCAGTCATTGCTACTGTTCATGTTAGTCGTTGCTTATATCCTAGTTGAACCAACTATGTGTCGAGCAGTCGTGGATTGTCCGATTATTTTCTTTAATTCTTCACGGATCTCTGGCAGACCAATCAACGCCAAAAATGGTGATGCAAAACTTGTAAAATATGGCAGATAATAAACAACATTGTTAATGAACTGTTCACCAAATGATGGATCATGAAAATCTTGTACTAATATTATAACAACCCAAGGTATCCAATTTATTAAAGTCATTAAACTTATGGCTAGTAATTGTAAAATCATTCGTCGATTTTTTTTCAATGTATTCAACATAAATATTGATTGTGCAACTTTTCGTTTCAGTCTAATAGCATGACCAATCATCAATAGATTGAAAATCAATAGGGTTGATGTGCATAGACTATGTCATCTATTTTATGGGGTGGAACAGGAATCTTCTAAAGGTATACTGAATAACCGTCCACCATAAGTACTTATTGAATCTGAACACTTTAGTATAATGAACGCTTTTAAATATTTTCAATGATGTTTAAATTAGAGGTATTTCACCGTCATTGATTACAGTAGGGTGAACGTATTCGGCAATGATTTCGTAATCATGTCAAGTTCGATTGAATATCCTATCAGATGTCCTTATATCTAACCATCAGGGATTGATGACCAATGAAACAAGGGTACTAATAGCAAAGAAGCTAATTTTAAGTTTGCCTGAATCGATACTTCTGCGCAACAAACAGAATATATTTTTTCATAATAGGTCGATATCAAAATGTGACGTTCTTTGAACAATGAAGCATTTCCTATCTACTCATTTTAGAAGTAGTTTTTTTCCGTACGATTCATTTCAAGAAGAATAAGCAAGTTATATGTGTAAGATGAGTGAAACAATAAAATCGGCCTGCTCTTTCATTGCTTGTCAGTGCTCTTGTGTATTTCGGAAACCTTCCATCAAATTCGAATCTGACGGAGTGACCATATGATTATATGGGTCGTTCTGTTTACAATGAATTCGTCAAATGAACTTGTTCCTATATAGCTTGTATCACCGTCGAGCTCTCTACGATGCAACACACAAGATACACACGAAACAATATGAACGATCAGAGATCGGGTCGGTTCAGTTAAAAAAAAATGAGAACTGATCCAATGTAAAATCTGATAATCTAATACATTTGTTAACATGTCCTTTGAATCAATGTTGAGAAACTGAATACATATTAGACGCATTTGAATTCTATCTACTATATCTCGACTACCTTAACATCCAAAATGTTTGTTCTTTATGCCGCAAGAAAAAGAATTCATTTCTGCACCTATTCACAAGAAATAAAACATTCACACTCACACCCATCAGCCAAATTCCATACTAAATGATGTTCGATACATCTTAATTTGACTTTATTTTTTGCCCACATGGAATATGTGGTGTTAGTTTCATACCTTAGCCTCATCGGAAGCTGCACTGATAAACGTTTTCATCCTAACAGATCAGTTCATGACTGCTAAAATGCATTTGTTTTAAATGAAATAAACTGTAGTGCATCCTTGTTCAGCACTTTAGTGCTTGCGGCATCTGAAGCCGCAGTCAGTAAATTTACTTGATGAGAACTTGAATGATTAAATACTATCAGGGCCAAATGAATTTCTCCCCTTGTGTTTTGTTTTTATTACTATACTTCTTTGATTTATTAATCCACTATATATAGCGAGAAAGCTCGGAGTGCGCTGCTTCTTTCAACATATTTACGTTGATCATCAAACGCAGTTTAAAGTATAAAAAATGTGTTAGAAAAAAAAGTAACATTTTTTTTTTACTACAATACCGAGTATCCATAATATTGTAATATTTTTTATTTTACATATATCTTGGCTTAGATAGAAGATAAAATCTTGAATTTTTTTGTCAAAAGATGCGCTGTGAAAAGCTCTACAAACCCTGTATGATTGAATTCCAGTTTACCTGTTCTAATGGCTTTTCTGATACTCAAAATGAACAACTTACATGACAGTATCACTTTCCGCAATATTGAAAATGTTCGGAACACTTTTTGTTTTGCATATATCTCGACTTGAGAAAATGATAGAATATTGAATTATTTTTAAAAAGATGTGCCGTCGAAAGCTCTACCAAAGCTGTATGAACCAACTCATATAGCGAAACAAAAGTCACACCGTCATGTAAGCTGTTCATTTTGTGTATAAGAAAAACCATTAGAACAGGGTAACTAGAATTCAATCATACAGATTTTGTAGAGCTTTTCACAGTGCATCTTTTGAAAAAAAAATTCAGAATTTTATCTTCTATCTAAGCCAAGATATATGTGAAATAAAAAATGTTACAATATTATGGACACTCGGCATTGTAGTAAAAACAATGTCACTTTTTTTTCTAACACATTTTTTACACTTTAAACTATATTTGACACTCAATGTAAATATATAAAAAGATGCAACGAGTTCCAGGCTTTCTTGCTATATATAGTAGATCAATAAATAAACGAAATATAGTAATAAAAACAAAAAAGAACAAGGGGGAAATTCAACTGGCTCCGATAGTATAAGAAGAAGCGTTCCTCATTAGAACACTTGATCACAATAGGAAATAACTGGTTTAAAATGTGGAGGCAAAAATGTTGATCACATGGTATATAGACAAAGCCAGAACACAAGGTGATAACATTGTATCATATATGTTTTGAACAAAAGCATTTAAATAACATGGTCCTCCGCACACAAATACAGTTAAGTCGTACCGATAACTTGGGTCGCATGGAAATAATAGAACAAGATACATGTAAATACCGAAAGCATAAAAACCAGCAAATCCCAATGGGATATAATGAAATAATAGTTGATGTTTCATAATACACTGTTTATGAAATACTAAAAAGTAACGTTCAATTGATGCATATGTTGTTAGAAATAAAGATGCCGCTTCAAGAGAATAACTCAAAAAAAATCCAAAAATAAGCATACTTTTGTTGTCTGTACATATCCTAATGAAAGATAGCGCAATGAAAATTGTAATTCAGTTACAATTAACAAGAAATCACTGATCAATATGCATAAAATAACATGATGATTGATGCGATCAAAAATCAATTTTTTCCGCAATCGAATAAAATAATAAAAGATAATGAGAAAGCAGATCAAGGATGGTATAATAAACGTGATTAATAATGATATTGTGACAATCCGCTGTTTTAGACTGATACTAGTAGATATGTCTTCCGATACTAACGAAATATTATTCGTCTGGTTATTCATATTGAGTTGAAGAAAGTATAATGTGATCTTCTGTTGGTTTACAAAAATCTCATACTCTCCGTAGTGAACGAGAAGAAGATTATTCTACAGAGAATACTTTGTAATACACTCTTTCTGAAACTATATAACTAATATTTCTATATTTTGCCTTAATCATGATGGAAAAAAGAAATCTGCTGAGTTACACGTTGCAGTTAGAGACCTGCGGAGGATCCGAAACCTGATTCCGACTCTGACTCCGTCGGAGTCGGGTTTGCTGAAAACAATTTTTCGGGTTCGGAGTCGGAGTCAGTTACAAGTTCGACTCCGATAATTTTTTTTCGATTTACCAAAACTTAATTTTTAACATTATTAAATAGAAAAATAAAGCGTAATATCTGTCACATAGATTTATATCACTTGTAGGACAGAAAGATGAGCGAATCACTTTCCAGTTATAACACTCGAATGATCAAGTGAGATGAAAACATAAC